GCCGTCGCCCCCGTGGGCCTGGCGAGGGATGATGCCGTCGGATCTCTCATCCATGGAGCCAGTCGGGGAGAGGGCCTGGGTCGCAATGTGACCCAGTGCCAGCGGGCCGCGGCTTTGCCCGCCGTGCTGGGCGCCGTGTGGCACGCTGGCCTTGACGGGGGCACGTTCCCCGTGTCGAACTGAGGTCGCCGCGGGGGCCCCCCCGAGCTGCGTCGCGCGTTCGAGTCGCCCGCCAGGCTGCTCCCCACGGCCCGGCGCCGTGAGACGGCGCGGGAGACTTCGGCGCTCGTGTGGCCTGGTGGGTTTGCCTGCCCTGCCTTCCTTCTCCCGTGCGCGCGTGGCGTGATATGCCGCCAGTGGCGACCGCCTGGTCGCCTCTGTTCTAGCTGTGGGGCCTTCTGCGTGGTCCGCGCAACTATCGGCCGCCCGCCCAAGCCTTGTCACTGCGCAAGGGCTTTGGGCATGGGCATGGCTGATGGTGCCCGTGGGCAGCCAGAGGATCCCCGTCCTCTGAGTGGGCCGCTCTGCCCGCGCGCGCGCGCGCCAGGGCCTGGCCCTGTTGGGCCCCGCCCGCGCGCGTTAGGCGCGGCCTCCGCCCGGCGACCCCTCGCGTGCGCGGAGCGGGAGAATGCTCTCTCTCTCTCTCTCTCTCTCTCTTATTCTCTCGTCCCCGCGCGTGTCGTTGTCGTCTGCAGCTGCTTCGGCCCCCGCCTTCTCTCCCCTCCTCCTCAGCGGCGCTGGTGTTGGCCGCGGGCAGCCGGGGGATCCTCTTCCTCTGAGCGGCGCCGCTCGGCCCGCGCGCGCGCTGGGGCCCGGCCCTTTTGGGCCCTGCCCGCGCGCGCCGGGCGCGGCCTTCGCCTGGTGACCCCTTGCTTGCGCGGAGCGGGGGAATGATGCTGATTCTTATTGGCGTTGTTTTTTTTATTGTTCAATATGTGTTTTTTTGAATGATGGCGGTGGTAATTGCGATGATGCTGATGATGCAGAACATCCGGATGATGATGATGAGGATGATGCTGATGACGATAATGCTGCAGAAGATTGTGGTGATTGTGTTGGCAGTGAACATGACGACGATGATGGGGATCTTCATGACGCAGGTGCGCAGGCTTCCAGGCCACCTCTCGGATAAATCATAAGACTGGATTTAGGTGCGCTTGTGGACTTGAGGGGTAACTGCGAAGGACGCGGCTAATCCCAACCCCATTCGAGGTGCCCCCCATGGGCGCGGACGGGGGAGAAGATCCGGAATCCAGGCCTCCTGTCATCGCGCCCTCACGTGGGTCAGTTTGGGCTTCTTCCGTGTCGATGTCGAGGTTCGGGGACGGGAATACGCAGTCCGTCTGGATCGACAGACGGTGGGGGCGGTTGAACATTCGGGTCTTTGCCCTGCCTCGCGACCCAGTGGGGACGGCGATTGCGCCCCAGGCACAGGCGAGTCGCACCGAACGCCGTCTGACCCGCGCCCTTTTCTGGCGCCACTTTCGGGTCCTCAGACCACGAGCCGCTCGCAACTACTGGCCGTTTGGCTTTGCTTCGGGGATGGGGGGGTAAGATGGGGTGGTAGCGGGCGTCAATCGTCGCGCCTGGCTGTGTCGGAGGGTCGGCTGTGCCAGCGCTGATCATCGATTGTCGCTTGGGTGGCCCCCCTGTGGGCCGATGCTGTTTCTAGTGCTTTTGGTTGCGCGATTTTGTGCTGCAGCTGCCAGCGGCGTCCCTGCGGCGTTCGTCACGTGCTGATGCAGGCCCCGCGCTTGGCGTCGAGGGCCGCTCGAGCTAGGTTCGCCCTGCCCCCCGTGGTGCCAGAGCGAGCCTTGTGCTCGTCTAGAGCCGCCTTCGTCTCCACTGCAGGGGGGCCACCATTCAGGACAGCGGCTTACCATTCTCTTTTTGCCCCCCTTACCCCATTCGTTTGCTTCGGCTGGCCGTGCACCTTCGGTCTCATAGTGGCCGTGTGTGGGCGGAGACGGAGACGGACACTTCATGACGATGGTGATGATGGTGATGATGATGATGATGATGATGATGATGATGATGGTGATGATGATGATGATGATGATGAACATCATGATGATGTTGATGCTGCTGCTGCTGCTGATGATGATGATGATGATGATGATGATGATGATGATGATGATTATGATGCTGATTATGATGATGATGATGATGATGCTGATGATGATGATGATGATGATGATGATGATGAGGATGATGATGATGATGATGATGATGATGATGATGATAAGTATGATGCTGATGCTGATGCTGATACTGATGCTGATGCTGCTGATGATGGTGCTGATGATGGTGATGCTGATGCTGATGCTGGTGCTGATGATGCTGATGATGATGGTGGTGGTGATGATGCGTATTATTGTTATTCTCATTCGTATTATTCTTACTACTATTATTACTATTGTTAATTCTGTCAATATTATTTATATGCTTCGTAGTCGTATTATTATCGTTGTTAGTATTATTAGTAGTATTATTGCTATTAACGTGATTCGTAGCATCACTACTGTTGTTTTTCCTCTTCTTCTTTTTCTTACTACTACTACGACTACGAATAGTATTTTGATCAGAATCCGTATTATTAGTACCACTATTCTTCTCATTCGTATTATCCGGTCCTCACTCGTACCATTATTATTCGTATGTTTTATTCGTATTCGTTGGATGGGTTTTGCGATGATTAAGTTGGCGATGAAGTTGAGCAGAAGGAGCAGGGGGGAGGAGGAAGAGGAGGAGGAAGAGGAGGAGGAGGAGGAGGAGGTTCAGAGATTCAGACCTCTCGCGAAGCGAGTTATGATGATGTGCCCATTCCCTTGCCGGTTCAGGCGAAGAAGAACACGGCGTGATTGAAGAGCATGAGCACTGATACCCTCCTGGCACTGCAAAGAAGACCGAGGAACGAAACTGATACCTCGAATGAGTCCCTCCCCATGTAGTCGACACCGGTGCAGAAAGTAAATTCACGTCGCATCGGCAACACCACATGTGTTCACTCCTCCACGGCACCACCAGAAAAGACGCCAATACAAATTGAATGCCAGCTGAATTTCAGAATTCCAACTGAAACCGCCAGACATAGTACCCCTTGTTAGGGACAAAACCATTTGCCCAAGCACAACAATCCACTGAAGTACACCCAGGCGGGAGGCGTTGGGTCAGTGCACGTAGGCTCCCACTGTCCCTCCCGCCTGGGATGGACCACGGAGAGACCGAGCAGGAACGTATTATCCAGAAGTATACGCACAGCATGCTGAAGGACAACACTGCGCAGCAACTCCAGGGGAAGAACCAGCTCTTGGTACTCCGCCTCGCCCCTGCAGTCACAGATAACTCGAAGACTGAGGGCGCGAGCTGGTACACCCAGGCGGGAGGCGTTGGGTCAGTGCGCAAAGGCTCCCACAGTCCCTGCCGCCTGGGATGGATGCCGATGAAGAGGTGCAGGAAAGACACCCAGAAGAACATGCGCAGCAAGACACAAGAAAACGCTGTGCGGCTGCTCCCATAAGGAACCACACCGAACATTGAGCGAAACCTGCTCCGTCTAGCCACTGGGATAGCTGTCCCAAAACCGTAGAGATTGACGCACGTTCAGCTGAGGTGAAATCGGCTCGACGCGGCCCTTATTCAGTGATTTGCAAACTCCACCGGTCATCGGGCAGCCCCCAAGAGGGATCGTCTCCTCCACAGACAGCCCCACAATGCCAATACAAAGACGAAAGGGTGCTACCCAGTGCCCCCCAAGCGCCAACGTGGGGGCACGGAGCTAGGAGTCCCATGGCAAGTGTGAGCCCAAAAGGTTACGACACGCGCCACGGGCTCCCTGTGCTTGAGAGGAGGAGGAGGAGGAGGAGGAGGAGGAGGAGGAGGAGGAGGAGGAGGAAACACAGGAGGAGGAACAGGAGGAGGAGGAGGAGGAGGACGAGGAACAGGAGGAGGAGGAACAGGAGGAGGAGTAGGAGGAGGAAGAAGTGGAGGAGGAGGAGGAGGAGGAAAAGGAGGAAGAAGGAGGAGGAGGAGGAAGAGAGGGAGGAGGAGGAATAATAATAAACTATTAGTAACGATCATTATAAGACGAAGACGACTCATGACTGTATCAATACGAAGAATATGAGTACGAACGATCATAGTAATACGCAGCATAAATATACTACTACTACTACTAAGAATCATCATGCCAACAAGAGGAAGTATACTAATCATAAGACTATTCTTAAGCATCAGAATTAGAATAACAATAAAATCACACAGAAATTTAAGAATAACATGAAGAACACTAACAATACTGATAATACTACTACTGCTAAGAAGAAAAGACTAATAATATTACCAAGCATACAAATAATAATACTAATCCTAATAAGCACAATACTAATCAACATGCTAAGACACATTCTAATAGTAAAAATAGGAGAAGGATAGCAATAACACACATGATAATAATAAGAATAATAATAGTATCAAGAAAAATAATAATACTAATAAGAGGAGGAAGGAGGAGGAGGAGGAGGAGGAGGAGGAGGAGGAGGAGGAGGAGGAGGAGGAGGAGGAGGAGGAAGAGGAGGAAGAGGAAGAGAAGGTCGAGGAGGATGAGTGGGAGGAGCAGGCGGCCCCTCAGCTTATAGAGGAGCGTGCCTTTTTTATTGTTAGGAGGAGAAAATCACGGGCATGGTCTATCACGGACCGGATCCGACGTATTGCTCGCATGCGCACGCATGTGCACGTGCACACGCACGCATGCACGGTATTTGCGCATACGTGCAGGCAAACATGTGCACGAGTGTACACGTGGACGCAGTCGCGATTTTCGTAGGCGCGACAGGCGACTCGCAGACGTCAGAGGCAAGCGGCAAGCTGGTTTAATGTCTGGGAATCACATTGCAAGACATATTCTATCAAACAGCCACAGCGCTTTGCTAGAGGATCATGCGCGAGAGTATTTTTCCAGTGGCGAGCTGCGCGCGAAACAGCTGTGGCGCATGTGGAAGCGCATCAATTGAGCTGTTTGGAAGGTGCTGTTTGGTGATGTGGGTGTGATCGCCAATGGACTCAGGCTGTCTGGTAGAGGAATTTGTGCCTGTTGTGCGTGCCAGGCATGCTCAATAACGGGCGTGCTTTCCTGGGCGCTTTTCAAAGAACCGCCTGTCTAGTGACTACAGAGACGGCCTGTTTTGGTTAGACTAGACTTCGGTCTGAGTTGGCGTGCGTGTGTGCCACCTAGTCTCTCCCTGGCTCCATCTGAGCGGCGTAGAAAAAAAAAGGTGCTGCTTGGGTGGGCATTTGCGCGTGATCTGCTCGCGTAAGGTCGTACGTAAGCGCTCTCTTCTCTACTTGGTGTGCCATGTGAACGAACTGCGTAAGCCATTGCGTGAGGTCGCTATCTTCTCTCGCGTAACGTCGCCTCGGTTTTGTCGCTTATATTTCCCTCAAGCCGTTTCGGACTATCAGTTCTTTCTTGCCCTACCGTGTGCTCATCTTTTCTTTGTCCCGTCTCGCCGCTCCTCGTGCCTCCTCTCAGATGTCGATCGTGCTGGTCATCATGCCACCTTCGACGGTGACTCTGTTGCGGCTGCCCTTGTCCCGCTGCACCATCGCGCTGCATTGTCCGAGTGGTGGGGCCGAACGGCCGTAAAGTCAGGACTTTGAGATAAGAGCGTGTTTCTTTGTTGCTTGGGGCATAATGGGCATTACAGCCCCCGACCCCCTCTCCCCCCCCCGCCCCCTACAGCGTAACGCCCCTCCCCCCCCCGTGCGCTCCGGGCACTGCCGCCGCGCGCATCGGGCACACGGCGGGGGGGAGGCGTTACATTATACCCCCCCCCGGCCCCCTCCCCCCCAATATGATGCCCACTATCGCCGAGAATGAAGAAGCGCGCTCTAAGGACCACACTCTTGGCTCACCGGCGGCTCTGAGGTTCGGGCCGTTTCTCGTAGGACCACGCCGCGGAAACCGGCTCATGGCCGAGTGGTGGGGCCGAGCGGCCGACAGCCAGGACTTTGAGACAAGGACCACGCTTTTGGCGGGGGGGAGGCGTTACATTATACCCCCCCCCTGGCCCCCCCCCTGGCCCCCTTCCCCCCCCCTATAATGCCCAATATCGCCGAAGCTAAGGACCACACTCTTGGCCCACGGGAGGCTCTGAGGTTCGGGCCGCGTCTCCTAGTCGGTGGCCGCGTGCGAACCCTACCCCTGCCCCCCACGATTTCTGAGGGGGAGGGTGGGGTTCATTTCGCTCGGGAGCTCCCGAACGAATGAACCCCACCCTCCCCCTCAGAAATCGTGGGGGGTAGGGGTATGGTTCGCTTGTGGCCCCCTACCTAGGGCCACGCCGGGGCAGACCGGCCCTGGTGGCCGAGGGGCCTGCCCTGGCCAAGGCGAGCCTTGTCGTGTCCCTCCTTCGGCGCTCCGTGGCACGATGGTGATCGTTTTTTCTCATTCGTTGCTGTGCCGATCGGCGCGGGCCCTCGCCCCCTCCTCCTCCTCCTCCTCCTCCCTCCTCCTCCGCCTCCTCCTTCCTCCTCCCTCCTCCTCCGCCTCCTCCCCCCACTCCTCCTCCTCCTCCTCCTCCTCCGCCTCCTCCTCCTCCTCCTCCCCTCCTCCTCCTACCTCCTCCTCTCCTCCTCCTCCCCCTTCCCTCCCCCTTCCTTCCTTCCTCCTCCTCCTCTCCCTCCTGTGTTTTCCTCCTCCTCCTCTACCTCCTCCACTCCTCCTCCTCCTCCTCCTCCTCCTCCTCCTCCTACCTCCTCCTCCTCTCCTCCCTCCTCCTCCTCCTCCTCCTCCTCCTCCTCCTCCTCCTCCGCCCCCCCATAGTAGATCTTGGCTGTTTTTGGGCGCCCGTTTCGAGCAGGTGGGGCCTCCCCCATAATGGACGCACGGTTCCAAACAGTCGGACCAAGCAGAGGTCCGGAGCCAGACCCCCCCCCCTACCGCCCCCTTATCGTTCAATGTCGAAACGCCGAGTGCACGATGGCTGTACATTGTCCCCTGGGTGCGTGGTCGACGCGAGTTTCGAGCCTCCGAGCTTCCCGAGTCCTCGAGCTTCGGGCCCTCGACCCCCGAGCCGTGGAGCCTCGACGCCGCGAGCCTGGCACACCGCTCCTCGAGTCTGGCTCCGCTCCCCCCTCGCCCCCGACGGATGCCACGAGACACTTCGGCGAGGCCCCAGTCTCGAGCCTCGAGCCTCGAGGTGCGCCTGGGGGCCAGAGCTTCGTGGCGAGCCCGCCGTCGGCCGCGAGAGACGCCTCGGTGAGCGGTGCGGACGAGAACAAAGACGCCTCGAGCCTCGGCCTTCGAGCCTCGATCCTCGAGCCTGGACCCTCGAGCCTCGATACTCGATCCTCGAGCCTCGATCCTCGAGTCTCGATCCGCGATCCTCGAACCTGGGTCCGCCCTGCCTCGCCCCCGCGCGCGGCGGTGGGCCGCGCTGGCGGCGGCGGCGGCGGGCGGGCGGCGGGCACCTTCTGGTGCGCCTAGGGTCCGGCGACTGGGCGCGCACTAGGAGCGGCTGGTCGGCCGCGCGCCCCGGGGCAGAAGTTGTCCCAGGCCTGGGGAGGAGGAGGAGGAGGAGGAGGAGGAGGAGGAGGAGGAGGAGGAGGGGGAGGAGGGGGAGGAAGGAAAGGAGAGGAGGAGGAGGAGGAAGAAGAGGGAGAGGAGGGGAAGGAGGGAGGAGGAGGAGGAGGAGGAGGAGGAGGAGGAGGAGGAGGAGGAGGAGGAGGAGGAGGAGGAGGAGGAGGAGGAGTAGAGGAGGAGGAGGAGGAGGAGGAGGGGGAGGAGGAGGAGGAGGAGGAGGAGGAGGAGACGGAGTAGGAGGAGTAGGAGGAGGAGGAGGCGGAGAAGAGGAGAGGAGGAGGAGGAGGAGGAGGAGGAGGAGGAGGAGGAGGAGAGGAGGAGGAGGAGGAGGAGGAGGAGGAGGAGGAGGAGGGGAGGAGGAGGAGGAGGAGAGGAGGAGGAGGAGGAGGAGGAGGAGAGGCAGGAGGAGGAGGAGGAGGAGGGGGAGCAGGAGGAGGAGGAGGAGGAGGAGGAGGAGGAGGAGGAAGGAGGAGGAGGAGGAGGAGGAAGGAAGAGGAGGAGGCGGAGAGGAGGAAGAGGAGGAGGCGGAGGAGGCGGAGGAGGAGGAGGCGGGAGGAGGAGGAAGGGAGGAGGAGGGGGGGGGAGGCGAGGGAGGAGGAGGAGGAGGAGGAGGAGGAGGTAGGAGGAGGAGGAGAGGAGGAGGGAGGAGGAGGAGGAGAGGAGGAGGAGGAGGAGGGGGAGGAGGGGGAGGAGGAGGAGGAGGAGAGAGGAGGGAGGAGGAGGAGGAGGAGGAGGAGGAGGAGGAGGGAGGAGGGAGGAGGAGGAGGAGGAGGCGGGGGGGAGAGGGGAGGAGGGAGGGGGAGGAGGAGGAGGAGGAGGGGGAGCAGGAGGAGGAGGAGGAGGAGGAGGAGGAGGAGGAGGAGGAGGAGGAGGAGGAGGAGGAGGGGAGGAGGAGGAGGAGGAGGAGGAGGAGGAGGAGGAGGAGGAGGGGGAGGACCAGTGTAAACCCAGGACTTCCCAACGATGTTGCAATACAGCCTCACTCCGAGTTCCTTCTTCATAGGTGCCTACATGAATCTATGTATTGTCATTGCGGGTAGCGGGTAGTGCCCCACCAGAAGACCACCGTTCGATTAATCATATTCGTGGTAGAACACCATTCCTGGGACTTCACCGCCGCGAACCAAGGTGATTGTTGCGTCCTGACAGCCATAGGTCGTGCCAGGACACCATTCACGGGACTTCAGCACAGCGAATCAGCTTGATTGTTGCGTTCTGAGAATCCTAGTTCGCGCCAGAACGCCAATCCGTCGTGGCGCTCAGGCGGAGCGAGAGCCACAGTTTGAAAAACACCTGCCCTCCACACGTGAAACAGGTTCCTGAGACGTCAGCCATGACAATCTTTGGAATTCTGGGCACTTTTAAGACGAATGTGCGCGGCGCTCAGGCGAGAGCCACATTTTGAAAACGACCCTCCCTCCATTCGCTCCATTCCTGCAAACTTTTAAGACGAATGTGCGCGGTGCTAAGGCGGGGGCCACATTTTGAAAACGTCCCGCTTTCTATCCGTGGACCTCATACATACTTTTAAGACAAGTGTGCGCGGCGCTAAAGCGAGAACCACATTTCGAAAATGGCTCGCCCCCCATCCGTGAAACTGTTGCTTGCAAATTTCAAGCCTCGGGATCATCACATGGTGAGGAAGTCTCAAGCGAAACGCCCGGCCCGCCCTGCAGACACGTCTGGGCGTGCGACAGGGAGGAGTCATCGAGAGGGGCAAGGATGGGGAGGAAGAGGAGGGGAAGGAGCAGGAGGAGGAGGAAGAGGGTGACGAAGACGAGGAGGAGAGGAGGAGGGGAAGAGGAGGAGGAGGCGGACGAGTATGCAGACGAGGACGAGCCGCAGGAGGAGGCGGAGGAGGAGGAGGAGCAGGAGCAGAAGGATTAGAGAGGGAGGGGGAGGAGGAGGCAGACGAGCATGAAGATGAGAACGAGCAGGACGATAATAATGACGATGATGATGACGATGATGATGATGATGATGACGATGATGATGATGATGACGATGATGATGCTGATGATGCTGATGCTGATGATGAGGAGGAGGAGGAATAGGAGCAGGAGTAGGATGAGGAAAAGTAGGAGGAGGAGAAGGATGAGAAGGAGGAGGACCATAGTAAGCCCAAGACGAATCAACGATGTTGCAACAAACCCTCTCTCCAAGTTCCCTCGTCATGGGTCCCTACAAGAAGACATATTCACTGCGGGAAGTGTCCCGTTGGAAGACCGCCGTCTGGGAATCCCCAATCGCGTCAAAACAACATTCCTTTGATTCCAACGCTGCGAATCCAGGTTATTGTTGCGTCCTGACGATCCTGAGTTCTTGCCAGGACACCATTCCTCTTGGAATATCAGCACCGCGAATCAACGTGACTGCTGCGTTCTGACAATCCTTAACCTTGCCAGAGCACGGTTCCTGAGACGTGGAGTTGTTGGGCACTTGCAAGACGAATGTGCGCGGCGCTAGGGCGAGAGTCACATTTTGAAAACGATCTGCCCTCCATTCGTTCATGTTCTGCAAACTTTTAAGACGAATGTGCGCGGTGCTAAGGCGGGGACCACATTTTGAAAACGGCCCGCTTTCTATCCGTGGACTTCTTACACACTTTTGAGACGAGTGTGCGCGGCGCCAAGACGATTGTCACATTCTGAAAAAGGCACCGCCCTCCATCCGTGAAGCTCTTGCA